GCATATTGGGATAACGATAGAAGTGGTCATATTCTCGGAAACTGGAATTATTCTTTTCTGAAAATCGAATTTTCATTCTATCTCGCAAATTTTTTGAAAACCGAAATCTTGTGAAGCCTACCAATATTGCGTTAGGCATATTCGGAGGTTGCCATACTCTCAGAAACTGGATTTCGTTCTTTTCTGAAAATCACATCTTTACTCCATTTCGCAATTTTTTTTTTTCAAGATCGCAGTTTGTAAAAGCCGAAACTTTGCGGAACCTAGCCTAGATCTCGTTCATAGTACTCTTCTGACATGTCCTACTCATAATAGATCGACAGATATACAAAAAAAAAAGAAAAAAAGAAGGAAGTAGTCCTCTTTTATTTTTTTATTTTTTTTTATTTTTTATCTGTTGATTAGGGCCGGAGGAAAGTATTGTTGGGTTGGTTGCCTACCTACGTTTTCCCTCCCACCCACCCCTTCGCATGCATTTCCCAGTTGGTACAGTGACACGTCAGACACAGTGCCACGTCAGACACAGTGACACGTTAGATAGTGCCACGTCAGCAGTGCCACGTACGCAACAGTGCCACGTCAGCAGTGACACGTCAGCAATGACACGTTAGCAATGACACGTCAGCAATGACACGTAAGCAGTGCCACGTCAGTCAGAGTGCCACGTCAGCATGACGGGCCCAGCTCTGGGCATGCCAGGCCAACTGGCCAACGAGTCTCTGGCCGACTACAAACGGCGGTTCCAGGCCCAGATCGCTCTGATCGAGGCTGAGGAGCAACGCCAGCTGGCAGTCGAGGTTGCCCGCGTACAGGCTGAAGACGCGGCAGCAGCAGAGAAGCTGTGGCTACAGGCCGACGCAGACGCAGATGCCCAGGCTCCGCAAGGAAGCTCGGGATCTGCTGCAGCGGCATGAAGTCAACAACATCAACAGACTCGAGTTCTGGCACTTTGAACTGAACGGCGACGAGGCAACAATGGAAGAGGAGCATAAGGAGTTCCTCTCCAAACTCGTGACACGGTTGTTGTATGCTTGCAACTACCAACGGTCCGAGTTGGAGAGACAGAACCAGGAACTGCAACAACTGTTCTAGGATCTGAAGCAACAACACCAAGAGTTGGCGAACCTCCGCCGGATGGTGCAGAGCCACGAGGATGCGACATAGGCACTCAATGCCCGTGTACTGGAACTGGAACAGGCAGTATCAGGACCAGATGTTGGTGCCTCCAGCAGTGCACCCTCTAGTGGGAATCTTTCACGACACAACTTCGGATTCTGCCTGTCGCCAAGCACGCGTACATCGGCACCCTGTTCATGAACTCAAAGGGCGGATGCCAAATCTGGTTAACTCACCTAGCAGCCACCCACGGCGTCGATGTCGCAGATCTGAAGGATAAAATCACATGGGAAGAGTTGACACGGCTATGGAAGAAGCGGTTCATCGTCGATGACGCACCAGCACTAGCCATCAATCGTCTCTTCACCATGTCTCAGGGCAACACAGCAACACGTGACTGGCTCACGGAATGGCAGAAGATCGCGACAGTGCCCGATCGAGACTTACCATTCACGCATTTACGCCGTGAGTTCTACAACAGGTCATGCGCTGCGCTGAGCCAGACACTTGGTGATCGCGAGCAGTATGCAACTTTCGCCGAGATAATTGACAAGGCAAGAGAGATCATCAAGACCAACAGGTCGGCTGCACACGAAAAGTCAACGTGGCAGCCAACCTATGTGGAGAAGGTGAGAACTGGTCCGTGACAGCAGCAGTTCGCTGCAGTCCAATCGGACAACTCTGTGGAAGACCCGACAGCCACCCAAGCGTCACGTGAGGGAGATCAGGCGGCTGTTGTCCAGCAGCGAAGCAGCAACAAACCCCGAGTGAACGGGAGGGCGAAATCAGCATCGCCGTTCGGAAATGGACAACCAGCACCACCATGGGTCAAGTTCGGCTTGACCGAGGCCGAGTACAAGTACCGCGGCCATTATGGCTGCTGCAACTGGTGCAACAACACCAAGCACAAGACCTCCCTTTGCCAGGATCAGGCCAAGGAGGATGTGCGGCCTCGTCTTAACTCGGGAAACTGAGTTGCACAGGACGTGAGGCGACTCCACCTCTCACTCCGCCAGATTCGGCCGCCTTGCTAGCGGCCTCCTACACATCTGGGGAGGATGCGCATGTCGCAAGTCCTCGGTACACTTACAAGGATTATGCTGTCCACTTGGTCTCACCGCTGGACCAACCGCTCCACGTGCAACACTCTACCGCATGCACGGTTTCATCACCATCGACAACCGATTCGGCAGCTTCGCCGTCATCTACCGCCGGGGATTCAACGTCATGGTCAAGACTTGAAGAGCTCGACCCGTTGACTTTTGAGGACTTCCAATGGATGCCCCTGCCCCGGTCCGGTCGATTGCCGAAACCGCATTGCAACGTGCTCAAAGCACAATTGCGGGATTACTTGCACACTGCAGTACCGACTCCGTTGATGGACGCCGGAGTAGAGGTTGTCGACCTCCACGCCTACATTGCGAAGATCGACCGCGAGTTCAAGATGCAACGGAACGACGACATCGACGCACCATTGCTATATGTACGCATTCAGATCGGAGAGGCGACCTGCAACGCTTTGATCGATTGTGGAGCATCTCGCAACTACATGAGTCAGGACTTCATGGTACGCCCTGACTTTGGCCCACGAGTCCGAAGGAAGTCCCAACCCACGCAAGTCACGTTGGCGGACGGTCACACGTACAAGTCAATCGACCGGTGCATTGATGACGTCCCAGTGTACTTTGCCCCTCACGGAAGTGAGGCGGTGTCCTTTGACATTCTGGACACCAAATTCGACATGATCTTGGGCATGTCATGGCTGCGAAGCGAGGACCACCCGGTGAACTTCTACTGCCGCATCGTTCACGTTTGTGATCGGAACGGAGTACTAGTCCCATGCACGGTAGCTCCTCCTCACCCTTCAGTCAAATGTCATGTGGTATCCGCCATGCGAGCTTCCATCATCAGAGACGACATCAAGGAGATGGGGGTGTGTTTTCTCCATGCCCTCCCGTCCCATGACGCTTCATCGATGGACTCTCCTTCGGATCCACGCATCACCGAGCTTCTCGACGCCTACAGCAACGTGTTCGAAGGCCCGCACGAAGTAGTACCGAATCGGCCTATCCGCCATGAGATCATCCTCGAGAACGGGGCCGTACCTCCACGCGGTTGCATCTACCGAATGAGCGAGGAAGAGTTAAGTGTGCTTCGGGCACAACTCGACGACCTTCTGGAGAAAGGATGGATTCGGCCTAGCTCATCGCCATACGGTGCTCCTGTTCTCTTCGTCCGGAAGAAGAACAAGGATTTGCGGTTGTGCATCGATTATCGCAAGCTCAACGCGCAGACGATCAGAAACGTCAGCCCTCTCCCACGCATCGACGATCTTCTCGAGCGACTGGGCGGCGCCAAGTTCTTCTTCAAGCTCGATCTCAAGTCGGGATATCACGAACTCGAGATCCGGCAGGAGGATCGCTACAAGACTGCGTTTAAGACGCGATATGGGCATTTCGAATGACTGGTTATGCCATTTGGCCTTACGAATGCCCCGACCACTTTCCAAGCGGCTATGACAACGGAGTTCCGACACATGCTGGATCGATACGTACTTATCTACCTCGACGACATCCTGGTGTACAACCGGAGTTTGGAGGAGTATGTGGAACACATGCGCACCGTTTTGGAGCGGCTATGACTAGCCAAGTACAAAGCCAACCGCGACAAGTGCGAATTCGCGCGACAGGAGCTGGAGTACTTGGTACATTATGTGACGCCGCAAGGCATCCGTCCGCTTGCGGACGAGATCGAGGCCCTACGAGTATGGCCCGAGCCCACCAACACCACAGACGTTCGTTCATTCATGGGGTTGGCGGGCTACTATCAGTGATTCATCACCGGATACTCCAGGATTGCTGCACCTATGATGAGGTTACAATCGCCAAAAGTGCCATTCGTATTCGATGACGACGCACGCCGGTCATTCCAAGCACTCAAGACGACCATGCTCATGGCACCCGTCCTTAGCATCTATGACCCCGTCCTGCCTACGAGAGTGACTACGGACGCTTTCGGCTATGGCATTTGGGCAGTCTTGGAACAACACGACGACGACGACTGGCACCCTGTGGAGTATTTCAGCCACAAAGTGCCTCCCATCAACTCGCTTGATGATGCAAGGAAGAAGGAGCTGCTCGCATTCATCATGGCTCTCAAGCGATGGCGGCACTTCCTCCTTGGGCATCGTAGGTTCACATGGGTTACAGACAACAATCCATTGACCTACTACAAGACGCAGGATACGGTGAGTAGCACGATCGGACGATGGATGTATTTCATCGACCAGTTTGACTTCACACCGAAACATCTTCCCGACCTCTCCAATCGCGCAGAAGATGCACTCTCGCGAAGACCTGATCTTTGCGCTATGACACATCATGCCTTCGCATTCGACGAGGAGCTTCAGCGACACTTCATCCGGGCATACGAGTCTGATCCGGATTTCGCCACGCTGTATGCACAACTATCTTCGGATCACCCACCGGCCAGCCACTATCGCATTGCCGACGGGTACTTGCTCCTCCACTCGAGAGGCAAGGACTTACTATGTGTCCCACGCGACCGCCGTCTTCGGACTCGCCTCCTCGGCGAGTATCATGATTTGCGACTCGCCGACCATTTCGGAGTCAACCGCACTATTGCACGGCTTCGACAACAATTCCGATGGCCCGACCTCATTACCGATGTCACTCGGTATTGCGATTCTTGCGAAGTTTGCCGACGCAGCAAACCCCGCAACTGCAATCCCTATGGCGAGTTACGCCCGATGCCTATCCCACGGGAACCCGGTCTCTCCATTGCCATGGACATCACCAGTCCGTTCCCTCGCGACCGGCTCGGGCACGATGGCATCCTCACGGTTGTGGACCGATTCAGTAAGTACGCTCGTTTTCTTCCTTGCAAGTACTACTCCACGGCTCCCGAGCTGGCACGCCTCCTGTACACTGGTTGGATTTGTGGCCACGGTGTACCAGAAGACATAGTCAGCGACCGCGACACTCGCTTCATGTCGGCATTTTGGACTGCTCTCATGCAGGAGTCCGGCACGAAGATGAAACCAAGTTCATCTCGGCATCCACAGACAGACGGGTAAACGAAGCGGGCACATCAAACCGCTCAAATGATGCTTCGTACGCTCATCCGTCCGGACCAAAAAGATTGGGTTGACCGCCTCCCCAACATCGAGTTCGCCTACAACACTTCGGTGCATCCGGCGATCGGCGTGACTCCATTCGAGTTGCACCACGGTCAACGGAAACGCCGGATCTTCGCCGACCTTCTCCTCCCTTGACCAACCGACATTGACACTGCTTGGTCCCCCGCTTCCGTTCGGAAGTACAGGGAATTGCTGACGCAAGCCCGCACAAACATGCAAAAGGCTCAAGTCCGCATGCAACAGCAAGCCATTAGGCGTCGCGTGCCATGTCCCATCCGCGCCGGTGATCTGGTTTGGGTCTCCACGGAAGAGTTTGCACTGGAACAGGATGTTTCACGCAAACTGCTTCCCAAGTGGTTTGGACCTTGGTCTGTGACAGCAGCCGCGGGCGATGAGCCCGATGGCCCTTCATTTGTGATCCACATTCCCGAGCATCTGACGGTCCATCCAGTCTTTCACGCCTCGAAGCTGGCAACATATACACCAGCTAAGAGCGACGACTTCCCGGGCCGACGATCGCAGGACCCTCCTTCTATGGATGGTCATCAGGAAGTTGACCGTGTCATCACGGATGGCAAGTACGGCAGCAAGCCGCGCCAGTACAAAGTTACATTCAGAGCATGCGATCCCGACGACACTCGGTGGATTTCAGGAGCAGATTTGAAAGCATCCGCACCGCTGATCTACTCTCACTACGAGCGACAAAGGTTAGCTAAGGGACCTCCACGACCTGCCCCTCCCACCCGGACTGTGGTCCCTCCCTCAGACAGACAGCTTCGCCCTCGCAGGTAAGCTCGGTCTTTCAAGGAGGGGGGGGTGTGGCATACTGCGTAGCCACACGGGCCCTGCAGGGCCCGTCCCGCACTTTCAGCATGAAAGCCTAAAACTTAGGGCTTACAGGCCCCGGTCGTTTCAGCCTGAAAGTTGGAAAACGATGGCCTGCAGGTTCTACTCCGTTTTCAGCCTATTTCTGGGCCTTTCAGGCCCAGAGGCTTTCCAGCCTGAAACGGAGGGCCATTTTCAGGCCCTCATTTGTTTCGACCTGCCCTAAGACTCAGGCACGAAAACTGGGTTTCGGAACAGGCTATTTCTGGCCTGTTCCCCACGCCAGCTCGAGCAGGAGCTGCAGCTGCAGCCCCTGCCTTCCTTTGGCATTGGCAAGAGCGGCCTCCTGGACCGCTAGCCCGAGTCAGGAGGCACACCCGGTAGTACATAGGAAGTTCCCATGCACTTCACGGGTAGGTAGTTGTCAGTAGGCACGAGTAGTCTTCAGGATTCGGCCGCAGCACTCAGGAGGAGCGCTGCAGTAGTCTTCAGCGCTGGCAGTAGTCTTCAGCGCTAGGCAGTAGTCTTCAGCGTTAGTTGTAGTCTTCTGGGCGCCAATAGCCATAGAGTAGTCTTCAGCGCTGGGCGCTGGTAGGTGGTAGATCGTAGAGTGGGGAGAGATAATGGCGGAGGCCAGTGGTACTTACCTGTGGCGCCATCGCTCCACCTCCATCTGCGAGGTACCTGCATCAAGGCACCAACTTCACAGGTTAGTATTGGACACAGAGAGAGAGAGAGAGTTCTTCTTCTTCCTCTTCTAAGTCCACCATCTCTTCTCACCCTCTCACCACCTCACTTCTCAGACTACGACAGAGAGAGACAGAGTTGTGACTTGAGACTTGACGACATTGGATCCAGACTTGACATTTGGGATTCAGACATTTCGACGAGGGACTATTTGGGCCTGTGCCGAAGACTTGGTGTTGACGACATTCCCATCTTTCCCCTCCTCTTCGTCTAACCCCTTCTTCTTCGTCTGTGTATGGTAGGGGCTGGCGCAGTCTTCCTGTGTGAAGCGCCAGACCCCATTCACACCATGTAACGATGATGATGTATGTTCAGGGCTGCATTGCAATATTGATTGTTCGGATCACTGGTATCTAAGTCTTCCGCTGTGTTATCTTGTACTTTGTATTGAGAGGTCGGTTCTTGTTCTGGTCTGCACGTTACAGTATGCAACATGCCATCTGCCCTCCTCCAATCGATGCAGACTTTGAGCCGGGGATCCAGCCCCTCCTCCATCTCCCAGACGATCTCCAGCATGTCCTTACTTTTATCCTTCAGCCTACTGACCCAGCCCCCCTCAGGGGACGCTGGACCCATTTTCCAGCCGGTGCAGCTCCCCGCCATTAGACTGGAGCCCCCTGCAAGACAGGTGGGAGTGTATGGCCTTACCATCAATCCTACCTGCTGTCACAGGTGGAATTGAAAAAAAAGGAAAACAAAAAAAGGATTGTGTCCTTCTCTCTCCGACAGGATTCGAACTGATGACCTGTACCCTTCTTTGATTGATGGCAACCGAATTTAAGGCAGATTTTATTCTTCTTTTTTTTTTCAACTGGTCTGTGGGAACAAGGGAGCACAGTTTCGCTAGTGTGCACAATCTTTAGTGGGGGGTTGCTTTGATTTTGATAATCCAGCTGGCGCTGGGGCAGCGGTATACAGTCAGCTGCCTCCATCCTTCTTCTTCTTTGCCGTCTTCCTTTATTCATTTTTTTTTTTAGCTGTCTACATTTCAGATATCATTGAATTGGGGCAGTGTGTGTCTGATTTCTCAGAGAGTTTTATGGGCGTTGTAGGCACATCCTGTGGCTCGTGGGGGGTCTGTGCTGTCTTTTTTTCTTTCTTTTTCAAATTTGGACCATTTCTCCATTAATGCGTGTCAACCTTGCAAAGGGGCCATGCCGGTCATCTCTGTATCGTGCCAATTTCAATGAATGGCCCGGAAGGACAACTCTGTGCTGTCTTGAACTGCCAGTACTTCTGATTCTCGCCGGTGCATGTGTGCCGCGACATGCTGGGATGAACAGGCCTAGAGCGCTGGCACGGTAGCAATGGCTTCCCTCTCTCTCTCTCTCTCTCTCTCTCTCTCTCTCTCTCTCTCTCTCTCTCTCTCTCTCTCTCTGTGTGTCTGTCTGTCTGTCTGTCTGTCTGTCTCTTTCTCTCTCTCTCTCTCTCTGTGTGTGTGTGTGTGT